CCCCCAGCTCTCACTCACCCCAGATCCCAAAGGTCCCCCCCAGAGGAGAAGCAGAAGAGAGTCAGTTTCAGGGTGATGTACTCGAACATAGATGGGATCACAAGCAAGACAAGTGAACTAAGGGAAAGAGCACAAGAAGTGAACCCAGATGTAATCGGACTCACTGAAACAAAACTCTCTGGAATCATAACGAATGCCGTGTTTCCCCAGGAGTACACAGTAATAAGGAAAGAGAGGGAAGGTAGGGGAGGAGGCAGAGTGGCCCTACTCATGAGAAAGGAATGGAGTTTTAAGGAGATGGCCATCCCGGGCTGTGAGGAGTTCAGAGACTACATAGCAGGCACCATAACAATGGGAGGACCAAGAATAGTAGTAGCAGTAATATACAACCCTCCACCAAATGACAGAAGACCTAGTCAAGAGTATGAAAACAACAACATGGCAGTTAACACTATAATTGAGAGGGCAGCCTCTGCTGCCTGTAGAAATAGATTCCACCTGCTCATCATGGGGGACTTCAATCACGGCAGGATTGATTGGGAGAACAAGGAACCGCATGGAGGCGAGGATACGTGGAGAGCTAAACTATTGGAGGTGGTGACAAGAAACTTTTTAACCCAGCATGTCGGAGAATCCACAAGGATGAGAGGCAATGACGAACCAGCGAGACTCGACCTAGTCTTCACTCTGAACGACTCCGACATAAGAGAAATCGGTTTTGAGGACCCAGTAGGAATGAGCGACCACAGTGTACTGGTGTTTGAGTACTTGATTGAAGGAGGGTTATTGAACTCGAGGAGGGATACCGAAACCAAAAGGTTAGCATACCGAAAGGGAAACTATGAGGGGATAAGAAAATTCCTAACAGATATAGCATGGGAAACAGAGCTCAGGGGAAAGACGGCCCAAAATATGATGGATTACATCACGCAGAAGTGCAAGGACGCAGCAAACAAGTTTGTCCCAGTCCAAAAGGAAAACAGAGAAATGAAAATGAGAAACCCATGGTTTAATCAGAGATGTAGGCTAGCTAAGCAGCAAAGTAAAAGGGCATGGAGAAACTATAAGAATAACAGGACACTGGAGAGCAGAGAAAGATACCAGAATGCCAGGAATGAATATGTCTGGATGAGAAGAGAGGCAGAAAGACAATACGAAAATGACATCGCAAGCAAGGCAAAGACTCAGCCTAAATTGTTGCATAGCCACATCAGGAGAAAAACAACAGTAAAGGAACAGGTTATAAAATTAAGGATAGGGGCGGAAGGATTCACTACAAATGACAAGGAAGTGTGTGAGGAATTGAATAAGAAATTCCAGGAGGTCTTCACCTTAAAGTAAGGAGAAATTCCAGAGGTAAGAGAGGGAATAGCTAACCAGGAACCATTGGAAGAGTTTGAGATTACCAGCGGGGAAGTAAGGAAGTGTTTACTAGAGTTGGATGTGACAAAGGCTATAGGCCCAGATGGAATCTCCCCTTGGGTTCTAAAGGAAGGAGCAAGAGAACTGTGCCTACCACTCTCCATAGTGTATAACAAATCACTGGCAACAGGGGAACTGCCAGATATTTGGAAAGCAGCTAACGTAGTCCCGATATACAAGAAAGAGGATAGACAGGAGGCACTGAACTACAGGCCAGTGTCCCTAACCTGCATACCATGCAAACTGATGGAGAAGATTGTGTGAAAAAAACTAGTGGAGCATCTGGAGCGAAGGAACTTTGTAACACAGCATCAACATGGGTTCAGGGATGGCAGGTCCTGCCTCACAGGGTTACTTGAATTCTACGACCAGGCAACAAAAATAAGGCAAGAAAGAGAAGGTGGGCAGACTGCATATTTTTGGATTGTCAGAAAGCCTTTGATACAATGCCACACAAGAGGCTAGTGCGAAAGATAGAGATGCAGGCTGGAGTGAAAGGGAAGGTACTCCGGTGGATAGAGGAGTACCTAAGCAACAGGAGACAACGAGTCTGTGTGAGGGGTGAGGTCTCAGATTGGCAAGACGTTACAAGTGGAGTCCCGCAGGGGTCAGTCCTTGGACCTATACTGTTTCTGGTATATGTAAATGATCTCCCAGAGGGTATAGATTCGTTCCTCTCAATGTTTGCCGACGATGCAAAAATTATGAGGAGGATTGGAACAGAGGATGATAGTAGGAGGCTACAAGATGACCTAGATTGACTGAGTGAATGGTCCAACAAATGGCTGTTGAAGTTCAACCCGAGTAAATGCAAAGTAATGAAACTAGGCAGTGGAAACAGAAGGCCAGACACTGGATACAGAATAGGAGATGAAGTACTTAATGAAACAGACAGAGAGAAAGATCTAGGAGTTGATATCACACCAAACCTGTCTCCTGAAGCCCACATAAAGGAAATAACGTCTGCGGCATATGCGAGGCTGGCTAATATCAGAACGGCGTTCAGGAACCTGTGTAAGGAATCATTCAGAATCTTGTACACCACATATGAAAGTCCAATCCTGGAGTATGCGGCCCCAGTATGGAGCCCGTACCTTGTCAAGCACAAGACGAAGCTGGAAAAAGTCCAAAGGTATGTTACTAGACTAGTCCCAGAACTAAGAGGCATGAGTTATGAGGAAAGGCTGCGGGAAATGCACCTTACGACACTGGAAGACAGAAGAGTAAGGGGGGACATGATCACAACCTACAAAATCCTCAGGGGAATCGACCGGGTAAACAAGGATGAATTATTCAACACTGGAGGGACGCGAACAAGAAGACACAGGTGGAAACTGAGTACCCAAATGAGCCACAGAGACATTAGAAAGAACTTTTTCAGTGTCAGAGTAGTTAGTAAATGGAATGCACTAGGAAGTGATGTGGTGGAGGCTGACTCCATACACAGTTTGAAATGTAGATATGATAGAGCCCAGTAGGCTCAGGAATCTGTACACCAGTTGATTGACGGTTGAGAGGCGGGACCAAAGAGCCAAAGTTCAACCCCCGCAAGTACAACTAGGTGAGTACACACACACACACACACTGTTATTTGTGATAACAGATTGGTTAGATAGGCGGGGTCAAAGAGCTAGTAGCTCGATTCTGTAGACACAAATAGTAAATTGCATACGGGGCGGCTGAGTGGACAGAGTTCGGGGGTCATAGTCCTAAGGGCATAGATTCGATTCCCGACCAAGGCAAAAACAAATGAGCAGAGTTTTTTGCACCTGGTGCACCTTTCCACATAGCAGTAAATAGGTACTTGTGAGTTAGACAGCTGTTACGGGCTGCATCCTGAGGATAAGTGTGTTTGTGTGTGTGTGTGTCAGAGAGAAAAAATGTTAGACATGTAATGTAGTAAATATATAATAAAAGAAAACTGGTTGAGAGTTAGTTCGTTAGACAATTATCCTTTAGAAGGGCGGGGTCAAGAGTTAACAGCTCGGTCCAGCAAGTCCAAATAGCAAATACACTTATGCAAGTAGGTGAGTACACATCTCTGCAGAGCACTAAAGAATAATAATGATAAGACAAGTAAAACATTTAGTGAAGATTAGGTATGTAAACAAACACAAGACTAACTTTTCAGGAGAAAACTGGATAGTTTTCTTCAAGAAGTGCCGGACCAACCGGTCTGTGATGGATACGTGGACCTGCGGGCCGCTCTAAGCAACAGTCTGTTGGACCTAGCTCTCACAATTAAAGCCTGGCCTCGAACCTGGATTGGGAAGTAGAAGAACTCCCGTCCAGTTACAATCCAGGTACCAACACAGCTTTAGGGAAGGAAAACCATGTCAAACAAACCTCAAGAACTAAGATTAAGAAACAATAATAAGACAAAACAGAAGGTTCAACACATAGCTTTTTTGGAGACTGCCACTTTTTCTCTTTTACACATGCTTAAATGAGATAATATTATGGTCAGTAATAATGTATCATAGGAAATTATAGCCGATCATTTAATGTAGCAACGTCAAGAAGTGATGGAAACCGCTGTCAAAGAATTAGAGAGGAAGCAGACAGTGCTCATTAATTTCTTGGGAAAACGAAAAAAAGCTATTGATGCATTAACGACAAACACTTCAATGGAGAAAAGTAGAAGAAATTCTGATTTTTTTTTCATTCTCGCTTGACAATAAATGAAATTTAGTTCATCTACTTTATAGTATCTTTAATACAAGGAAAAGAGGAAGACCTTTTCTGAGTCAATTTTCCAAAGTAAAAGCAACAGATTATGTGAGTGGAAAAAGTATATGTTAAATGATACTTGTAAATAATACAACGTGTTCACTGAGAAATTCTCGTCACAAATTAAGCAACAATGACCTCAAGATAGATGCATGAAGGTACAAAGGATTCTCAAAGGAATAAGTAAGCAATGATTGCAGATCATCATCTCTGAACAGATACCTGTGTCCCTACCTTCCGCCACCTCACCAACCCTGATCATAGTCTTGGACTATACTGTACTTGCTGTTCGGTCAGTAAACAGCTGTTGTGACTTTAATTAACCCCTGCACTGCGCACATGTTACATGGAACATTTCTGTGGTGTGCAAAAAAAATGCTCTGATTTGTTAGTTTTTTACTTTGTTAATTAGCATCCAAGAGGCACAAAAACTCCAAATAAAAAAGTCTATCTCTTGAAGTTTGGTTGTAATGATCTTGAGAACTTGCATGTTTTTGATAGAAATGAAGTGAGGTGCCACACGGAAACAATTTTGTTCATTTATTTTCATTCTTTCTCATTTTTATTTGTGTATTTATTTTTGTTTTAACAAATTGCGCTGATGTGTTAATGGTTGTGTTCATTATGTTTAACTTTCAAAATATTCATATGTACAGAAATAAGTGTTAAATACAAGCACTCAATGTATTTGTTCATATTAATATACATCTATTTATAATTAAAACCCTAAATCATACAATTGCACATAGCTCACAGTTTGCCTGCATATATACACATGGTAAACACTTATTTCCTCTTCTTAAAAGTTTAATGGTTGCTAGTGTGGCCGCCCAGCACGTCCAGACACTGGGTGGTGATGTACCAGACATGGTCCACCTCTTCCTGCTAAGGCCCTGGAAGGAAAATGAGCGACGCAGGATTGTTTGTTGTTGTGAATGGGGGATGGTTACAGGAGGCCTGAGGAAGCTAATGTGATCCCCATGTATGCGTTGGAGTTTAACAAAATTTGATAGGCCTAAAAACAACCCTGGTTGTAGTGAGCACTATCACTGAAACAACCCTGATTATGGTGTACAGTTTAAGGGTTAAAAATCCTCCACAGGTAGATGGACCTTAATCCCCAGAACACTAGTACACCAGACCACTAGCAATGCGAGAAAATCAACCCTACTAGCACAAGTGGGTCAGAGTTTACTATTTTGTTTCTTAGTGAAAACGTTTCCTCGACAAATTGAATCAGCATGTATTGCATTTAAGCAGCAGTGACATGTTTATACAGGTGTGATGAACCTTAATAATATTCCAGCATAAGACCGAAGAGGGACCTGCAAGAGGCTGCAAATGTATTTTGTAAATTAGCAAGCATAGTTCTGTAATCAGTTCACTCAAATAGAGAAGCTGTATCTGGATCATTTACCGCTAATGATTACAGATTTCTCGAGCGAACGGATCATCTAAAAAAATGGAACATATTGAAAACTGAAAATTATTAATATTAAGGAAGAACTAATAAATTATTCTTTGATGAAGGCTGAAAATAAACAATTAAAAAAATTGAGTTTTTTGGACGTTATGGAATTTTTCTTTAATGAGAATCATAAAAGTTGGCTTTTAATCAGAACCATTAAATTTAATCTGGTTTCGTGTTAGTCTTAAGGGCTATCATCCTCTGGAGGGTCGCTAGAGCAGCAACAATAGATACTCTTGGTGTATACACACCTGTTTTGCTCAATATATTTTACTAATTATGATTACTTTTAACTGACTCTAAAAAGCTAATGATTAGTAAGCTATTCATTTGAGTTATAGTTACCAAATGTTGAGGTGAATATTTAACTTATAGTAGCTTGATTTATTAAATTAAGTATGTAATATAAAAAAATCATTTATGTAAATAATAAATATAAACACTCAGTAATTAATGTAACCCATTACTGAGTTTTATTGATGAGGTAAAGTTTGGAAGCGTTTTTGAGTCCATTTAGTCTTTAAGCGCTAGATCTTATGAACTCAATTCACCTTAGTTATTTAAGTTAACTAAGAAATGACTGTAATAGCTTTATCCATTTAAGGTTAACTAACAAATGACTTTATAGCTTTATCCACTTAAGGTTAACTAACAAATGACTTTATAGCTTTATCCACTTAAGGTTAACTAACAAATGACTTTATAGCTTTATCCACTTAAGGTTAACTAACAAATGACTTTATAGCTTTATCCACTTAAGGTTAACTAACAAATGACTTTATAGCTTTATCCACTTAAGGTTAACTAACAAATGACTTTATAGCTTTATCCACTTAAGGTTAACTAACAAATGACTTTATAGCTTTATCCACTTAAGGTTAACTAACAAATGACTTTATAGCTTTATCCACTTAAGGTTAACTAACAAATGTCCTAATAACTTAAGTCAACGGACATAGGGGTTTAGGTCAACCAACAGTGTCATTTTGATGAGACACTCATTCTACGTTAATTTACACTAATATTTAGGTTAACTAATGGAGGGCAATGGGTTAATTAGTGAAAGGCTAGTCTAGTTATCTCCTTAAATTTTTCTGATTCATTCTGTTATATTAAACAACTCAGACTCCTTAATAAAACAACTTTTTCTAGAATAACTGGTTCATGGCTCTATTATCTGGATTACCTTCCTTAAGCCTTTGCCTCATATGGCTATATTTCTGAACTAATTGTTGTTGCTTTATCTGTTAGGTCGTTGAAGGGTCAGATCCACTTAAGGAAGCACAGTCACTGATAAACCTCCCTACAAATTTGACCAATGGACCTATGTGGCGCGTTCGACTTCTATCATCTACCCCTGAAGCCCTTCCTCCTCGGCCAGAGATAAACGTAAAATTTCCATATCGGAAGACAGTGATAATTGAGTGCCAACATGCAGCATTTGATGGTGTTGATCTCATGATGATTATTGTGTGGTTGCATAAGATAATTGATGATATGATCAGCGGAAAGCCCATTGATGATTCGCAATTTGGTCAACTTGCAGACCACAGTCAGACATCAGAAATTGCCCAACAAATAAAATCGGATCTTGAAAATGATCCTGAGCGGTTGAGTTCATTACTTAAACTTAAAAAAGAAAAGCCGGCCACTTCTGTCCTCATTGAAGCTTTCGGAGCCCCAGAACCATCTCAGGCAGAGACAAAATACTTGGAAAATGTTTTTCTGGATGTCTCAAAAGTTGGCAAGTTTCATGCCAAGTGTCAATCTGAAAAGATATCGTTCAATGCAGGATTTACAAGTGTAATTAACACAGCTCTAGTTGAGGTAGTAAGGGAGGCCGGCTTGACACGAGACGCCTACAATATTAGGAGTCGTGTTCCCATTGATATGCGTCGTTACATGAAAGGTTACTCCAAGACCTTCCCATTGGGCTTCCATGGTGCTCCAATGTATCAGAACATTTCAACACCTTTCAATGTTAAAGATCATTTCTGGATGTATGCAAAGCAGTATGATGCTCAGTTTCAGAATAACTTGAAGAACAAATTATTTATTGAAGATATGGTCATTGATAGAATGCTTCGGCCAGCTGATTTTTCTCCTGAGAAATTCTTTGCAAATCCACAACCTATTACGATTGACTATTTGTTTACAAATATGTTTACACCTCTTTTACGAACATACGGAGTAGGTAAACATGCTCAACTAACAGATCTTAAAAGTGTTGTAAATATTCATGATCTTGACGTTACATTCATGTGCGTCTTACTCAAAATATGTGATGAGGTCCGATTTGATGTCTGGTACTCATCACGGGGAATAACAAAAAATACAGCACAAAATATTGTTAACAAAACTATTTCAGTTTTCAGTGAAATTTGTGAAAATATATAATGTTTAGATGTCAGAACAGGGAATACCTTCCTTTGCAAGAAATCATAGATGTCAAGAGTGGGTTGCTTTGGGGTTCAAATAGCCAAATTGCATTACAATATTTACTATAACATTTCGATACATATGTACGTAGTTATATGTAATGTAAAAATGACTCCAGCAAGTCAATATTAGATCGTAAGTGCTCTCGAAGCATAAAGCCTCATTATCCAGCCTACCCACCTGTTTTGGTAGAAATTAGAGAGTAGAAATCTGAACTGCTGGGTTAGACATCGGAAAATTATTTTTTACTTGTGTTGCTTTGACACACACCCTCATGTTGATGATTCTTGTGCATCTAGGGGCTCCAAGAATTATACTCATGGCTTCATTTTTAATTTCATCTAAAACTTCCAGCCTATTGCTAGATAGACTAATATGGCGTAGGGCATTGTAGTCGATGACATGATGAACATCATGTAGAACATTCAGGCACTTTTGACATTGAAAGACGTGACTTGATCATTAAGTTTTGCTTAAAATTCATTTTAAATTTAATTTTGATGACCAAATACACAAAATATCATCATTACTAAACCAATGAATAATTTTAAGGGCAATTTTACAAATACATTTCTTGAAAAATTTCATATACATATTTTAAAGAAATAGAGCTAGCAGATTTCGCAGTGCCATTCCAAAAGTCTGTAGATAATACTCATTATTAAAAGTCAATATACTTTCTTTTATACAGAGCTTTAGGACAGTAGCAATAATATCAGAAGACAGGTTCTTCTGATATACATCGTTCATTAATTCATGATCAAGGTAATGACGAATATCATCAACAGGAATTTTAGTAAATTAAGAACATACACCAAAAGCGATTAATTTATCATCAGGAATGATTAAAACATTCTTTAATTTGTTAAAGATCATTTAACTAAAGATCAACTAAATCCACCGAATTAGTCAAATGCGAACAAGAAATAAAACCAAATAGTGAGGTGAAAATTTTGGTGAGCCACTTAGAAAGCTCTTAGGTAATGGGTCCCGCAAAACTTTAGTAGGCCTTTTGTATAATTAGGCTTATGAGTCTTGACCAAGCCATTAAGATACAGCAAGGAAGGAGATAAGGTTGTAAACTGGTTAAGATGAGCGTTATGATCATTAGGGTTTTTTATTTTTACATATGTACGTTTATTGTATAATTGGGGTCTGGACCAAAACAAAAATTGTGGTGGGGGGGGTTAAGGTAAGGTAATTTGTTTATTGGAGTTTTTTTTTCCCTGTAGACTCTCTCAGTATTATGAGTGTCATTATGGTTAACGGTATATGTGAATACTGTCTTTTATCTTAATGGTTAAACTTATGATACTGCAAACAATTTTTGCACCCTTACTGCTGGAATAAACCCTTTCTCGTATTAGATATGTAATATGATTGATTCCAATAATGATGCTGAAACTCCCAACCATATGTCAAAGGATTGAGCAACTCATTACTACCATCTGTGTAAGTGTGATGAGAGATCTATCATCACCCTTACTACTTGTCTAGTATTAAGCAGTAGTCAGAGGAAACTGACTAGTGCTGTTTGTTGGGGAAACTTGTGTTGCAAACGCACTAGCGGGCAACCTATATAAAAGCTGGTTGAGTAGAAATGTTGCCAATCTCATTAAACTGAATATTCCTATTGTATCCAACGTACTAGCCAATGATAATCCACTACATCTGTACCCTGAAATACAAGTGTCTTACTCACCCATCTGCAAAAAAGTAAGGAAAACGCAGCACTCCTGAAAGCAACAAAACTTGAAATCATTGATTCCTTTATAAATAACTTACGGCCTCACGAGCACTATACTTACGTTGATGGGTCTCTTCTTCTTGATGGTAAATGCAGTTTGCATAAAGGGTTTACTCTCTCAATGACTACACGAGTACAAATGTTGGGAGATGCTATAATGTTGAGAGTGACAAGGTTTTAAGTGTTTGTTGTGTTGTGGTGTAGATAGAGGAGCTGCGAGTAAACAGAAGCGGGATGTTAGAGGCAGTTTTTTGTGTGTTTGTCTGTTGGTGTCGTCAGGTACAACTGTGACACAGGCCAAATGTGGCCCAATTTGTTGGTCGACTGGAGATATTTAGCCAGTGCTTTGACTTTTTTATATTTTTCGTGTAATGAGAGGTCACCTCCTCCTAACATGTGCTCGATGGTATTTTTTTTTTTTTTTTAAGTGCGATAAGTACTTGTTTGAAGTTACTCTGGCACGATGATATCGGAAACAATGAAGGAAGTAATGTTCGATTGTTTCTGGCACATGATAGTGGATGATAGTTCGTTGATGTCTGTTCTGTTTTTAGGGCTGTGTTCTTCCAGTTTGGTGTGTCCCAGCTTTAATCTGGTCATCGTTACATCAATTTCTCTGCTTTTATATCTGACATGTTTCCAGGTTTACCATTTCATTTTTATGGACCCATAGTACAAAGATGAACATTACTTTTCCATTTCATTACAAAATCTTGGGTGATGGTATCTTTGAAGGCTCCTTTACGTGTACCGTGAGGAATTGGATGACGGGTAATGTAAGGGGTGTTGTGCATCGCTTTGGCTAGTTGGTCTACAAGTTCATTATAGAGTAAACCACAATGTGCTGGCACCTATTGGATAGAGATGTCATAACCGTTCAATCGATGTTCATAAAAAAAGTTGAAAGCATGGGTAAACAAACTTTTTGCACGTTATGAAAGAGTACGTAATTATTTGAATCTTACTCTTGGAGTCACTACAGATTGTATATATCCCAACTGGTAATGTTGTGATTATTTAGAGAGTTTGGTATAAGCATAAAATTCAGCTGTGAAAATAGAAAGCTGGTTTGGTAACCGCCATCCCTGCTTGAGATAGTATTGTGGGATCCATACAGCGCTAGTGACCGAGGGTACGTTGTTCATGAGGATGCGAGGTCCATCTGTGTAAATCGCTGTGGTATTTGGGTAGCAATTTTTAATTGTTGACACAAAGACTGAGGCTATGGCTGAGATTGGTGCAGACTTTGGAATGTTGTCTTCCAGTAGTATGAATGTTTTAGGAGTTGCATAAAGTCAAGGTGGAATAAGAGGGGCAGTAAGCTGGGTTTCAGAGTTTTGGAATAAAGTGAGGTTTATATTGAGGTTATTTATAGCCCGTGTGAGAAAAGGTTGTGAGCGATTGGTGGGGGGGGGAGGGGTATGTGGGCTGACTGTCGGGTAATTTTTTTTATCTGTTTGTATGTGTCTGGTGAGCAGTGGTACAGAGTGACAGATAGTTGACACACATTATGTCTCGTCTGGTGGCTAAGCTTGTTTTCTCCAGAATTTGCAACTAAAACTTGCTAGTAACGCACTGAAGAACAGTAGAGGAGTAATTTTCTGTGATTCAAAGTCAGTTTTTCAGGCCCCTAGAAGCCCAACAGGCAAAACAGATACTAGGAATGTTGTAACATCCAGTATAAACAACGTTATTAATGCACAGAGCAAGAGTGTCAGTCTGCTTTGTATAGATACCATCTCACATAGGTGTTGTCCAGCAAGATGAAACACACAAGGCAGCTAAAATTGCATGCGATAAGCCTGAAATTGAGTTGGATATGGGCATTCCAATCACTGCCGTAAAAGCCGCAATATTTCATGTAATTAGGGATGATAGAAGAGTAGTTACTGACACTCAAAGGCCAGAAAGCACGTGTGTAGAGAGCTATGACATGTTTAGAACCGATATTTATATATACGGGCAGCACAAAACATCCACTAAACAGTGTGACATTGTAATTGCCAGAATTAGGCTGGTATATCGATATCTATGGCAGGTGGCTGCACGTAATGAATCTCCCAATGGAGAACGTTACAATTGTAAACTATGTGAACAATGCTAGGACGTACTCTCCAAAATTATATCTGTCATTGCCCTGTTATCAGTGATTTCAGACAAAATAGTATGAGGTACTTTGAACTCTGTAATTACTTCATACACTCTAGAATATTGGAAGATATTTTTGTGCTGTATTCAGATTTTGCTAGTGGAGACTAATAGATCAGCCTTATATTTCATGTTCTCTCCGGATTCCATGTATGACTAACAATCCAGGAAGATGGGAAATTTAATTTGAGCGCTATAGCTATTTTTTTTATCTATACTGTGTAATAATTCATACAGAATAGGGTAGCAGCACATTGATGTATATACCTATGTTTGTTAATAATAATTATAAAAAAGTAACTCACAATATTAGAGAACAGTGTGCTCGCATTTATGTTCTCTCCTGATTCCATGTGTGACTAACCATCCTGAGAGATGGGGACATTATTTGAATTTATAGCTACTTTTTATAGACACGGTGTAATCTTTCATATAGAATAGGTTAGCAGCACATTGTTGTATGCACAAAAGCTTGTTAATAATAATAATAATAATAATAATGATACAAAAGTGACCCAAAATATTAAGAATTGTGTGCTCGCATTTCATGTTCTCTCCTGATTCCGTGTATGACTAACCATCCTGAGAGATGGGGATTTTATATGAACTTATAGCTAGTGTTAGATATATTCTGTGTAATCTTTTATATAGAATAGGGTAGCAGCACAATGCTGTGCAAACCTAAGTTTGTTAATAATAAAAAAAACTCAATCAAAATTACGATAGACTTAAATTGATATTTCAGTCAAATTATACCGAACATACTGAAGATAGTCCCACCATACACAATATATCAAAGTCAGCATGGCGAACATTTTTACTTATTTAAAAACGTAGTCAAGGCCTAAAAAAATTGAATTACATGTGGTGTTTTATTATTAAAATACAATTGGAAACGTATTACTTAAAAACAGTCCTCGTAGTGATAACTATAATTTACAAAATACACTGTAAAGTTTTTAATACATGTTTCTGTAATTAACTTTAATGTAAGATTTCTAAGCCAACACTTTGATGATGTTAGTGCCTTAAATCAAACATTTGCAATCCCTCGTGGTGTTGTGGTAAGACACTCACCTGGCGTTTCTCGAGCGCTTTGTCCTGGGTTCGTATCCTGGCCGGGGGAGGATTTACTTGGCGTCAATCCTTAACTGTAGCCTCTGTTTAACTCAACAGTAAAATGGGTATTTGGTTGTAAAACGATTTTTCGCGGGGTCGAATTCCTGGGAACATCGGATTAAGGACTTGCCGAAACACTATGCGTACTCGTGGCTGTACAAGAATGTAAGAACTCTTGTATATATATGAATAAATAAAAAAAAAATCAGAGAGGTGTTGGTACTACTCTTTATTACCACCAGGAACTGACATGCTTAAAAGTAATTAGAACTAGTGACCCCTGTGGCGAGTATATCTTTGCCCATTTTAGAATCAAGGGTGCTGAGGCAGACCTGACTGGGAGCAGTTTACAAAATTACTAACACTGATTTTGCTGAATTCGGCTCTAACCTTAGAAATCTAATACTAACAAACAAACTTAACAAAAACCAACTAATAATTTTGGGCAATCTTAATATTGACCTCTGGAAGCCTGATAACCTTCAAGTTGCTAGTTTCCCCAACTGAATGAATTCCTGCTTGCTCATACCCTTCATCACTAATCTACTGGAATTGCTGATATGAATGCTCCCACTCTGGACTACATCTGGACTAACATAACCTCTCCTCTTAATTCAGGGATAATCAGTGACAGGACCACAGACCATTACCCTACATTTCTTCTCACCAACATTAATAAACCACCCCTAAATACAATTAAGATAAGCTTTAGGCTACACAATGAAACTTCTATAGGCAACTTTATTGCTGTTGGTGCTAATATCAACTGGGAGACTGAATTAGGTAACATCAACCTATGAGTGCAAACATTTCTTCAAAAACTCTCAGCCTCTATAATACCTGCAGTCCAATGATAACAAAACAAGTCTCAACTAAAAGGCTTACTAAGGGTATACTTAAACTTATTAATAAAAAACATGACCATGAGAAAAAGTATAGGCTAGGGGTAATCTCCAAAGTAGTTTTAAGAAGATACTCATCAATACTGTCCAAAATAGTTAGGAGAGCCAAAATAAAATAATATGAAAATAAAATGAACCAAATTGGGGGCAACATTAAGAAAACATAGAGCACTATTTCCCAAATATTAGGAATCAAAGAAGATCTTGAATAAGAAACTAATACTCCTTTCCAATGACGATGGTATATTAATTCATCTTTCAGCCTCTGATGCTGCTATTAAGTTTAATAGTTTCTTCTCATCCATTGGTACATCCCATGCAAATGATATCTCATCCTCCCTAACTAATTTTAAGGACTACCTTACAGGAAAATATCCAGAGTCTCTGTACCTAGCTCTTGCTAATTCCTCTGATGTTAATGAGATGATCCATTCTCTTGGAACAAAGTCA